TATCTTCGCGTGATATTCATTCAGTTTGTCCGAGTTGTGATCGCGCCTTGAAAATATCTCGGAAAGTACAATGGAAATGTTATAGAAATAATTGTAGAAAATGTTGCTACCAACGAATTCATATGAATAGCTCGAAAGTGATTTCAATGTCACGCTTCCCTGCCATTCTTTCTTCCATTTGCTATATTACTACGATTACTACGAACGCACGAGCTGTTGCCGCGTGGGTGGATAGGTCAGCAATTCTCAGAAGCCTCAGTAGGCGTAATTGTTCGCCGAATCGGACGAGGATAAACGAACGGACTAGGAAACGCGTAGGTTTCGTATTAATTGACACAATGCATCCTAGAATCCTCCAATTCATCTTGGAATCGAATGAAAATGTAATAAAATATATAACGTTTGTAACGTTAAAAATTTACAAGGAGATTCAGATTCAATTTCCAGCTCGATTCGCTATACGTCGTTATATGTTTCTTTCCTTTACCTATTACGTCTCCTTTTGACAGCTTCACTCTCGGGGATAATTAAATATTTCAAATTATAAAAACTGCTATTTCCCAGAGTCCAGAAAGTGGACCGGGAATACGTATACGGTAAACGAGACAACTTTTAGATCAATTTTTAAAGCTTTTAATTTCGCACTTTTATAATCGCGTCTACTGTTGAATGCTTGCAGATCTGAAAGTTCTTTGTCATTTTTATAGAAATTAATGCACAGGTCAAATAAATGCAATATACAGTTGTTGGAAACCGAGCATTCTTTTTTATTTTCCAAAATATTAATTTGTTCAAAAAATAAACTCCCGAGAATTATATTCATAGATATACTCAACAAAGACAGAGAAAAATGACGAGACGGAGTTCGATGTTTCCATATACAAAACAATACAATATCTATTTTTTTTTTATAATAAATATTCCGCGAAAATGTAATATGTTCGAGACAAATGGCTGCATGTAATGTAGTTGTCTGTCGAAAACGACAAAGACGAAACTAATGGCTCGTATAGCATGAGGCTCTAATTAATCAACCCATTGCCTCGAGGAGTCTCTCGAATCTTGAATTTGAATCTCATAAATCGCCCCAATACATCTTTTTACAAAGGCAAGTGAAAAGTCGCGAGGATTTGGCGAATTTCAGCTGATAAGTTTGACGCTTTAATTAAGTGAAACAATTTCGGTTAACTTTCAGGCAAAAGCGTTCGCGTTGCGCGCAAACGCGTCTCGTTTAACGTCGAAAGATTTCTCCTGGAGTGGCAATCGATCGCCCCGACCGGACGAAAGCACGCATTAATCACCCGGGGAGAAGAACACTTCCCGTGCTTTCTTGCGGCTTGGAATGACTACGATTTTTACAACCATTTTCCATTTTCCGACGAGGCGAGACGTCTACAACCGGCGCGGCGCGGCGCCGGATGCAGCAGCTCGGGCAACTGCGTTGCCAGCCGGCGCGGTGGGATGCTAATTAATCAACACGATACGTCATGACAGAACGACCCCCGGACACGCGTGGACGAGGTGGGTAACTTCCTAATTTACATTTTACACGGGGGCCAACATGCACAATTTGGTAGTGCAGGTGGAGACAGCTTTTGACGCGGCGCGACTCCGCGGCGGGGAAAACGCTTCGATCTCGGTCAGCGCACGCGGCCGGACATTCATAATGGAACTTTCGTGTTGTTTCCGAACGTAAAAATATTCGCGGCGCTACGCGGCGCGATCGAGAGCGAGGCGGGAATTGAACGATTATTATTTTTAACGGGCACACACGGCGCAATTAATTAACGTTTCGCAACGCGAAACGGGACGGGAGGAAGCGGCAATTTACATTCCGCTCGAATTTATTACGACTGCTTCCAACGACACGAGCGATCATAATAAATTTAAAGCCAGAAAGAGATCCAGAGATTATTTTTAAATGACGAGTTGTCGAACTGAATGCTTAATTTCCACAACAGTATTTTCGAAAAAGGAAATTGCCAGTTCGGAATACGTGTACCTCTCGTTACGACCGTTTTGAAAGAGGGGAATCCATCGCGCATCATTTTCCACCTTTTAAACTATGCACATTTTTTTCGGAGATGCATTGAAGGAAAGAATGTGAATTTGTTTAATCATAATCTTGAATATTATACAGGCCTTGGCCAAAAGTATTTGCCACCCCTTCAATTTTTAGAAATGTAACTTGTTTTACTCCAGTCAACTATTTTGTATGCTGTTATGCATCGGCACGAATAAGCTGAACAAACACTGATAGAAAATTATGTAGTAGGTATTTGAAACTATAATTGCATAGTAAAATAATTGTAGTCGGGAATATCATTTCTATAATAATTATTACTATTACATATAGTTATTCGAAATGTTACTTGTGGTTGTTATTGCAATATTTATAGTACACCTTGCCAAATTAAAAGCTCGTTTTGGTTTATGACAACCATATCATAAGTTGCATGGACCAATTTTGTGTCTATGAGAACTACAATACGTTGTTAGGTCAACCATAACTTACGCAGTTGGAAGAATTATAAAAATGTGGTTGACTCCTAATATGACTATAAATTATAGTGAGATTGTGGTAACTGCAACCATTTTGTTTCTATCAGTGTATGTATTTAGTTTACTGCGGATGCTCAACGTGTGCACACATTGCTCAATAATCTCCAACTTTCATAGTGGCTTACTCTAAAGAATGATATTATTTTTCTACAAAAATGCTAAAAACGTGCAAATTGGATTTAGCCAGGGTTGGTAAGTTACTTTATAAAAGTATCTAATAGTTACAGTTTGCCCGCTAAAAATGTAACTACAGTTACTCAATAAGTAACGAATCGTTACTTTGCAATTACTTTCTTGAAATGAAACTAAAAATATCAATTCTGCATTTGAATTGTAAAGCGCCGATAAAGGCGTTTGTGCGTCAATGCAAGACCTAATGCGATCTGTGGAGGTTTAAAATATATGTACCTAAAGTCACTATTAATGTAACCGAGTTAAGTTCGAGTTACCAAAAAAAGTAACTGTAACTGTGGCTTCGTTACAAGTAACGAGTTACCTTCCATCCCTGGATTTATCTGAACGCTTGAAAATACGATTACTTTTTGAGGAAAAAAAACATAAAACAGAAATATCGCAAAAATAGTGACACGTCCTCGTAGCACTGTGGGATACGCCATAAATCGTTATAAAAAGACTGAAAGTCATCGACTGGTATTTATTTATTTAATCTGAATGTAAAATAATTTAAAGTTATTGAGGTTTTTACATAGGTGGCAAATATTTGTGGCCAAGGCTGTACAACAATGTATCTTCGCACGACAGTCTGCGTTCGTCTGCTTAAATTTGGAAGCCGCACATGCCATTTCCGAGACTCAGCCGCGAATAACGATCCCGCGCTATTCTTCCATTTCCGGAGGAGGCGTCACGGCGGAGGCGAAGGCGATGGCGAAGGCGCGACGTGGAGGAGCGTCGAGACAGCGCGATCGCGCGCGGATACTGCTGATCGGCGCAGTAAAAAAACGCCATTGGCGTAACGCGCGAATATTTATTTGCGCAATGCCGATTTGGCGCGCGCGTTTCGACTTCCAGCTGGCGGCATCAACGTGCCGCTAACGAGGCGCGAGACATCGCGTCGCTCTGGAAGCGTCGCGGATTGACGTCAATATTGAAACGCCGCGTCCACCCTCCCCGTCCCGCCCCCTTTGTCGCCCCCTCACGTCGCCCCGTTCCTCCTCCTCCTCCTCCTCCCGGGATTGCGGGTGCTCCACGTCTGCCTGTTTCCATTCAAAGCTCGAAACTCGACGAGGCGCTCGCGCCCGATCCCGGAAGTGCGAGAGCGACGTCGCAGAGATGAAGGATCGCGATGAGCATCCACGCCGGAAGGCGAAACTCACCCTCTCGCCCGTAATCCGGACGGTAACCTTGATATTTAGCCACCCGGCGGTTTGATATTCGGAAGCGAGCTTCGCAGCTGAGTTTCGACGAACGAATAACGGGGATCATCGGCGAGATAGGGGTACCCCTCTGTACATACACGAGCAACAAAATTGAAGAGACTTTCCCCGGCTCAAGAGAATCATTCCCTCGTCATCTGGAAAGTAACGTCGAACAAACTCCGACTCGGATGAAGAATCGTAACGAGCGTGCTTGTATAAGCAAAATTTGCTGACTGCAGTCCCCGCGAGCGAACTTGAAGGAATTTATCTGTTTACGCGTAGAAGCCTCGCGCGAATCCGCGAGGGCGGAACCGGCACGGGCGGATGATTAATCGCGACCAGGAATCGCGCGAAACTGGAAGAATTTGACGTATACTCGACAAGTTGGCCGATCTTTTTATACATATGACTAAGATCGCGAGGATTCAAGATTCATAAAATTCTCTGGAGAGCAATGAACTTCTGATCGCAGCTGTCGATTTTCGTTGGAGATGAAAATTCACCGATACGAGTTACGGTGCATTTTCGATCGCGAGCTCAACGAGCCATCGCGCACCCACACAGCTATAAATCGTAAAACGAGAATTGGCGCGGTGGAAACGAATCGCTACGGTATTGCCAATCGTGAGAGAAAACGTCGGCGCCACTGGCTACCGTTCGGAGCAGTCGTCCAGCGACGATTTTAATTATTCTGGAGAGAACGATGCCGCGGGGAGGGAACAGATCGATGCTGTGCCTACGAAATGTATGAAATACGTGAAATACACTTTGGCGGCTTCGTGCGTTCGCGGGGGTCGGAAGAAAGAAAGAAAGAAAGAAAGATGGAAGCTCGGAGCAACGAGCGACGCGTGACGTCGACGGACACTTGTGGAAGGGACGAGTGGGAGGAGTGGGACGTGGTGAAAACTCGAAGAAACGTCCCGGCAGAGGAGGGTCAGCCGGGCCGGCGATCGGCCGAAGACAACACGGTGGACGGGGCTCACGTCGCAATGAAGGCTGATGTGGACGGACATTGTCGGAGACTAATGGCAGAGACACTCTCCTGAAAGTGGAGTCACTCACCCGATGCAGCCAGGGCTATCGCCGCGACTAGCGTCCACGAGCGTCTCATGTTTGCTCGAGGGGGTGCCGGAACGAGGCTGCTTCCTCGATGACCGCCCGGCCGCGCGGCACCTCCTCCACGTTGCCGATTTCCTCCACTTCCCTGCCCGCCACCGCCGCCTCACCGCCGCTCGCGACCGCTCGTCCTCGCACACGTGGCTGGCCAGGCGCGTCGAGCGAGGACGAACCTCGACCTGAACCGCCCGGAAGATCAGCTGTCCTCGGCGGCGAGCCGCTCGGCGCGATGGGAACGGAGCGATTGTGGATCCTCAGCGTCCGCCCGGTCGCACCTGCACCGGGCTCGCCAGGTGCATCGTCCTAGCTCCGCCGGGGGCACGTGACCGCCTCCACGCAGCGATGTCCCGGTGCTGTCGTACGCTGCTATCCCGTACCGGATGGTACAGCCCGCGTGCACTATGGCCTGGATGGCCTGCACCACAACGCGACATCGTCGGGCAGCGCGGACATCTCTTCCGATTTGGATTCGCCTGCGTACCCCGCTTACCACCTCGACTCCCTCTCTCACTCCGTTCTCGCGAATAGTCCCCGATAACGACGTCGGTCGTCGCGAGCGACCGAGGGATATCGGTCGGGCCTCGATCGCCAGCGATCGCAGCTGGTCGCGCGGGGCCTGACGATGACGACGGTGGTGCGGATCTCGCCTGCTGTGCGAGTAGAAAATGGACTCAGGGACGCGTCCGCAGTCCAATCATCGGTACGTCCCATACGTCGGACTTTCCGCGTTCGCTCGCAGCCGCCGCAGCATCGGGTCAGGGTGAACGACGGCGGGGAAGAGTGTGCGGCTCACTCTCGGTACTGCGGGTCTCGGGACGCGTGCGACCGGCAGCACCGCGACAACATCCCCCTGGTCTCTCCCTTCCGCCACGGATAGGCGCGCGTCGGGCAGACCCTTCTGAATCTCGGTCGCGGTGCCTACTATATCACTCTCTCCCGTCGAGGGGGTTGTCAGGTGCGGCCTCGCCGGCGACCAACGCTGGACTGATTCTCATTTAGCTGCAGCGCCGCGCGGTACCGCCGCTTCAACCCGCTTTGGCGCTAGCTCTGTGGGTAGCCTACCGCCACCGTTCACCACCTTCGCCGTCTCGGTCCCTCGCGATAACGCCGTCCTCTTCTCCCTCACCCCTGTTCTCTCTCTCCCCCTCTCTGCTTTTCTCTTTTCCTCCCTCGTCTCCAGCCTCTTTGTCTAGTTCAGCATGTACACCTGCTAGTCGCCGTGCGCGTCTAGATCCCACCCCTCTTCATCATTCTGCACCCTCCGTATCGTTCTACCTCGATCACCCTTGCTGTCCGTCTCTTCACTTTCCCACTCTCTCTCTATCTCTATCTCTCTGTCTCTCGCTCTCGTCGCATATACCTCCTCCCTCTACAGTCACCCCGGTCACCCCCTTTCTCCCCGTCCGCGCTCTCTTCATCCCACGCTCTCCCTCGCGTTCAACCCTCGGCGGCCCACATCCGCGCATCGTGGGGTGGCGTGGTACACCATGCGGTACGACCTGCCTGCCCTCTTCTCCCTCTCTCTTTCTCTCGCTCTCCTCACCCCTCACCCCCCCCCCGTCGCTAAACCCTCCTCCGCTCGGCTCCTCGCGCTCTCTGGCATCCCTCTTCCTCGCGCGGCTATAGTGCATCCCAGCATCGCCGGAGAAGAGAGAATCGTTACTATGGCGAGATCAATATGATAGGACGGCGCATGCCTCGGTATCCTTATACTTGAACCCTTCGCCGCCACTCGCTCTGCCGCGTCTCTCTCGCGCAGTTCCGCTCGTCCCGTCGTCGTCGCACCTCATCCTCCGGCCTCGCCACCTCGCACTCCATCTCCGTCGCTCTACGTGCGATCCACGTCCCCCGCGATGACGTCCTCTCCGTATCTCTCATCCCCTCGCGCGGTACATCCCTCTTCGTCTTGGCGCGCGCTGGAGGCCGCGTGCCAGACCGTGGGCGGCGTTGACTTAAGTCACTTCAGTCAACAGAGGGCCGTATGCGGGAGGATACTGCCTCGGTCTCTCTTCGGTCCGGATCGACCTGCGGGATGTTCTATCTTTTCTCCGTCGAGCCGGGCAGAAGCAACGTCGAGATAAAACAACAGAAGCTGCCAGCTAGTTAGGGCAGACCTATTCAGAATCGTAACCAGCGATATTTTGATATTGGAATAGAGACAACAGGGTATGCCCGATCGTGTACTTCATTCAGATCGCGTTTGAAACCAGCGGGCGCCAACTAGATGCTAGATGTAGACGGGAAAGAAATGAATCTGGCCGCGTTTACCGTGTAATATTTTGGCACGTTCGGCACAACGACACGTTCCTGTGTTACCATCTGAAATACGTGACGCACGACTATCGAATGCGGCACATCTCTGCACGGCGAGACACACCAAAGTGATGGCGAAAAGAGGAAATTTAATACAATCGGGCTTTTCTTTCCAGATTTGAGAATCCAGCAAGGCTGGCGCAAACATCGAGAAGGTGCACGATTGTAAATTTGATTTTTCTTTCTTAACAATCATCTCCGTACACACCTGGAGAACAAAAGAAACCGGAGGAAGGCACAATCGTGAAAAGTGCTGACCGCGCAGCCTAAACGAGCCGCCAGGAACCATTCCGCACTTGGTTGGCTAACGATTTTTATGAAGCAAATAAAATATTCCAACGCGAGGTCCGCTTTTTCCTCTAGTTAGAAAAAGGGATCGTCTGATCGAAGGTTAACGCTCCGATGGCCCGATTCTCCTTTGTGCTGTCTTTTCTCCGTCTCGACATCGCGATCCGCTCTTCCGTGTCGCGCGTCCCCTCACATGCCTGTGTGTCGGACGATAATGACGACGAGGATGATGATCGTGCACCGACGGCATTCTAATCCGACGCCGCGGATCAATGTCCGATCGGATTTCCGAGTCAAGCTGCGATTGGAGCAGTCTTGCGCTTCCTTTGAGACACAAGCTATCTCTTATTACCTAATCTAAATGGTGAATAGAATGTAATCGCGAATGTTGATTTTTGTTTTTTTTAGAATATTTCTGGACCATCTGTGATTTCGAAAAATATGGAGCATTAAATGCCTTTAAATTAACTTTTTGGCGTCCAAACTATTTCTCGCGAATGAGCGAAGAACAAGCTTTTCGTCCTCAATTTCATCTAATCGGCTAGTCTAACACGAATCAAAAGGTTCTCATTACTTGAAGAAATTCGTGGAGATTCCGCAAATATAGTTTGCCGATTATAATCGCGTATACATTGGAACGTTCGGAGAATTTTGCGATACGAGCAACGCCTCACGTCGAATCTAAATCAACGTAGCACTGCAAGAGATTAAAATTGCGAAGAGGCAAAAGTCAGGTCGAATTAGATGAAATAGAGCTCCTTCGCGTAATTGCACCGCGCAACTTCGGTCTGCGAAGATAAATCTTATCGCGATCATTCAAAAGACACGAACGTTTCGACACTTTATAGGTGTGTGATTGGGGATGATAAAATCGTAAAATTTAATGCGGCAAAAATACCCTGCATTAATGTGTCGTCGGATCGCGTCTTATCGTGTCTTCCTGCGGAACTCGGAAATATCCCGAAAGAAATTCCACGTTGGAATCCTATTCAGCAGCGCACCGACGCTGATAACCCGTAGACGCATCGGGCGCGCTATATTTACGTTTGCATCACTGGCATCCGGAGTTCCGCCTTTGCGATTTCCACGCTACCGCTGGTAATAGTCGCGAGTTTATACACTCTACTGGCGTCAAAGTTCCAGCGTTTCTCGGGTAGTTTCCACCACGATGCCCCGACATTCTTCGACATCTACTCGCGCTTCCGCTTCTGATTGTCTGTTGCGCTTCCGCCTCAGCGGTCCTTTACATTTTTCAATCCGACTTATTTGACGCTGTCCAATCGCGAAGAATAACCAATGTATGCCCGAGTATTTCCGCGACACAGAAAAAGGCAACGTAACTTTTCACAATGCACAGCCTTCTTGTTTTATTTCGTCGCTGATTGTGACCGAACCGAATGGAGTACTTTTTCTACACTGATAGAAAAAGATTGCTAGAATAACTATAATCTCACTATATTTTATAGTGACTGGAATGGCTCCAAACATGTTTTTATAGTTTTATTAAACATGCAAAATATAGCAGAGCAAACACAAATTTATAGTCATTATCACTGTAACATAAATTAGCACAACCATACGAAATAGTTGTGGTAAACTAAAAATAGATTTTTGTGTAGTTAACTGTACTATAAAATAAAATTACCTGAAACACAGTGAAAAGTACGATGAATGATATAGTAATAGGTATTTATGATTAATATATTTAAAAAATTTCGCGAATATACTTTCAGCTCTGCACAAATATATCGTCCACCGAAGGTACACAGGTGAAAAATTGTTATACACTTGCCGACGAAAATTACGAAGCGAAACTGTTGAACAATTCATAAATAATTGAAACTTTGTTTCGGAACTTTTATCGAAAAACCAATCAGTGTTCGGAAATTAAAATTTACATAATATCGGAATCCTTTGCTCCGAAAACGGCGTAAGTCAACTTTAGTCCAGAACCAGTCAGCTGATTTAAGTTGATAAAGGTCGGAGGTCCTTCCGGACACGCGTGCTTTACGAAATTGAGGCGCCCGACTAACTTTCTTATCGCGTTAACGGCGAACCTTGTAAATATTCAACGTTTTCCAATTATCCGGTACATCCGCATTATGTACAGACAAATCTGCAGTGGTACCATAGTATAACTAGTACGTCCACTCTCTGTCGGCTCTTTTGATCTTTGCAGTCCCGATCACTTGGTATTCCACCATTATTTTGGGCAGCAATCCAGCGTACGTGTGTGTACGTAATGTAGCTGTATGTGTGGTCGTGTATCAAAGCTGCACTACCACACACACAACTTTTCTCTCGTTGGTCTGCCCAGAGCAATGTCGGATGCGCAGAAGGGATGGACGCAAAACGAAACAAATGACGGAGTGGACCTACCAGTTACACTATGGTGGTACTCGATAATACCATAGTATAACCAGTAGGTCCACTCTGTCGGCCCCTTTGATCTTTGAGGACCCGATCGCGGTATTCCACCATAGACCCGATCCAGCGACG